GCCCCCATAACCCTCAGCCAAGTCGACAGTAAGCCCCCCAACACTCAACCCTAACCCTTATCACCCTTAACCCCCAAAACTAACAGAGTACAAAAAAAAGCCGACCTAAAAGAAGCAATCCAACACCTCTTCGAAATCCAATCCGCAGTGCACGGCTACCTAGGCCCAGAAACGCAACAAGAACTCGTCCGGAAAATGTACTACCCCCCACCTTCTCCCCAAAATAATAACATCCCAAAATCAACCCCACCAACAACAAGAGCCCAACAAACTAACCGAAGAAAAAAAAAAAAAAACTATAGAAAATCCCTAACCCAAACCCTCTCCACGCTGCACAAAAACACCGCCGACCCAAACCCCAACACAGAAATCCCCGTCGGCAACCCCCGAGACCCGAATCTGGGTTCTGTGCAGCTGCCGCCCGAGATCATCGACTACGTGGACGCGGCGCGGAACCCGGATATCTACACGCGCGAGTTCGTGGAGCTGGTGCAGCGGGGCAATCAGGATCTGAAGGGGAAGGGGGAGGCGTTTGCGGAGTTTCGGGATGTGTTGGCGAGGGAGATGAGGAGTGCGGTGCCGGGGTGTAGGGGGGAGGTTGAGCGGGTTATGGAGGGGTTGGGTGTTGGGAGTAGTAGGAATAGGGATCAGGGGAGGGATGGGGATGGTAATGGTGGGGGGAGGTGATTGTGATTGTGATTGTGATTGTGAACTTGCTGTGTTTCTCGTGGGGGTTGGGTTATGTGTGTATGTGGTGTTTATGGGGTGTTTGGGTTTCTTTTCTCGTGTCTCTTCATGCCGTGGAATGGCGATTTGGGGCTCATAGAGCGGCGTTTTATTTTGGTATGTGACTATGGTTTGTCTCTGCACCGCTTATGGAATGAGGTTATACGGGTTTGGGTGTTGTACTCTGACTATCTGTCTTGTCTGTCTGTCTATCTACATATCTATTCGTATTAACGAGTATGGACAATGAAGTATCGAATATACATAAATCTAAATACACTACAGCAGAGTCTTATTCTTTTCGCACCGCTCAAAAAAAAACCAATGATAGCTGTTTAAACTAGGTTTGGGTATCTTATGGGAGGTTGCTCGTTCATGTTTAGTTTGGATAGCTGATTTGGGTGTACTATACGTATCTTAGGGTGGTGAGTTCAGTACCTGGTTTTCCAATTTCAGGTTGAGTAGTGGTCAAGGGTCAGTCTCACTTTCATTTTATATATATCTTGTTAGATATATTGCCATCACCCGTCGTCGTTCTGACATTCTGTGTGTCAGTATAAAAAAGACAATTTGAATGTGTTTTCTCAGCTGGCATAGCGGGAACTATACGCCCGGTACACGTGCAATTGAGCTTATTTTTCCTAATTCTATACTGCAATCCATGAGTGCAATAAAAATGAATACAATTGCAAACAGATAAGGATAAAGATAAGAGAGCAAAGTAAAAACAAAAAGTAATGACCAGACTGGGGCTCGATCCCAGGACCTTATCGGTGTTAACGATACGTGATAACCAACTACACCATCCGGCCAATTCATATTTTGTATGGTTGTAATTTAGCTAGACTAGCCAAGAGTATTTTCATGGTACCACATACTGGTTATCATCGTAGTCTACAAGCTGGCAATAACTTCCTCCAAAACCTTGACCAACCCAGTCATCTCTTCCTCTGCGTCATATTAGCCTTGAATTTCTAATGCCATAGAAGTACTCACCTGTATTATAGTGCAACATACTGATCCGCACCACCCCATCCTCAACGTCCTCCAAACCAATGATGTCGTTGATCAATCGATGACTGTACATATGTCCACTACGGAACCCGTAGGCAGATCGCTTTTCCACCTCCTCTACCACTCTTTGGCTTTTGGTACCCCGCACCGTGAAACTGATAACGGGGACACGGAGGTTCCGATCCGCAGAGCGCTCTCCGTAGACAGTGACCCGATCGTTAGCGTTCAGGAAATCCAAGACAATCTGCTGCAGCTTCTCCTCCTGAGCGGCGATCTTTTCCCACGATGCAGACACATCAGGCTCGAAGTACTCGACGACTCGTGGGATGCTCTGGACATTCTCGTAAGTGGCGGACGCCAGGTTCAGCCTCAGGTCGAGGGTGTCCGTCCCTTTGAAGAAATGGCCTAGGGTGTCGATCTGGTCATGGACACGCGATGAGGCGTACAGCTGTGCAATGTGGGGTCCATAGACCTTGTACCATGAGAAGGCCTGTTTTGCGATGATCAGTCCCTGTGACTTTGTCTCGGTATACAAGATGTACTCACGTAGAAGTCGACATCGAGATCCTTGACATCGACTTGGCGATGAGGCGCAAGTGCCACGCCGTCCACGCAGAGCAGGGCCTTACGAACAGAAGTAAGCATTGCATCAGTTCTAGGTTAGCAGGTAGCGGGTAGCTTACCCGGGGGTACTGATGCACGACCTTCGCAATTTCCTTGACGTCCACGATGGATCCAAGGATATTCGAGGCATGCGGGCAAGCTACGAGTCGCGTTTTCTCCGAGATCAACTGTTTCAAGTCATTCGGATCGCAGACGGGGTTCTGCGGGTTGGAAGCGGACCACCATTTCACCTCTAAACCTAGTCGTTGTGCGATCCTGACCCAGGCGGCGGAATTGGCCTCGTGGTTCAATTTGGAGAGAATGAGCTCGTCACCCGGCTGGAACTTCAAAGCCGTGGAGAGATTGTGCAATAGCTGCGTAGTTGACACACCAAGGCAGATCTATAGGGACTGTGAGCCGGTTCTATATTCCATTCGTGTAGGATCCATTTACCTCGTCGGGAGTTGCGTTGATGAACTTCGCCGCTGCTTCGTATCCGTTCGTAAATGCAGCGGTGGACAGCTTTGAAGTCTTGTACGTTGCCCCCAGTTGGACATTGGTATTTGTGAGGTAAGATGTAATTCTAGGTGGGAGCTATGTAAGCCGCAGTCCGATCTTATATCCGAGTAGACTTACGACTCAATCACTGTGTCCAAGACTTGACTACCCCCTTTTAAGCGGATTAGCACAGCTCTAGATACTGATAGAAGCGTCAAAGCAAAACTTTGACACACCTGCATTGTCCAAGAAGACCTGTTCCTGCTTCAGTGCCGGAAAGCGAGACCGGGCCTGTGCGATATCGAAAGTCATTCTGTAGGCTGGATAATGTTGCGCTGAACTCAGGAGAGGTGGTTACCTCAAGAAGTATACAGATCTGGTGTCGCAATATAACAGATTGCTGACGATAAGGCGTGAGAGGGGTAAGCTCCCCACCGCGCGCCCTAAGGCACCAGATCCCCCACATTCCCACGGTTTCTCGACCAAGGTAAGCCACACGGTTGAATAGAGAACTCTATCTATATTCATGGTCTCCACTGCTATCCAAAAACTACCTGCGCAACAAAACGGCAAACAACATGCGAACAGACGAGCTCCCTGCTTCCAACCGGGTATATTCCATGCAAACCGAGATATGTCCAAATAAGAGCACATTAAAATAACAGAGTAGAAAAAAAGTCCAAAGCGAATAATATCATCATCATCCATTACCGCGAGCGCAACCCGGCACTCGGGTTCCCCGCCGGGTGCGCCGCATCATGTACCACACAAAGCAGATACTTCTTATCCGGAACAACAACAATCTCATGCTTTTTAGTTCTCAGCCGCAGGAGCTTGACTTCATCGTCGTCCTTCTCCGATGCCTCTCCGTCTCCATCGTCCCGGAATATTCCATTGCCTAACCCTTCTTGCAAGCCGTTCGGATCTGTTTTAGAGCCGTGGGCGTTTTCATTCATGGGTCGTGAGAGCGACAAGCTTAGATCCGCAGCGCTGGAAACAAAAGCAAAAATGCGAGCTGCTAGCGCTTCCGCCTGGGACGGTTGGTAGGAGGTTTGATGGGTAAGGGTAGTTGTGCTAGACGTTGTGGAAGGGATGGATGATTCTGCAGGGGTCAAAGTAGATTCCGACTGCTCCTCGGCGGCTGGATCGGCCTGAGAGACATCTGGACTGCTGTTGCCCGCTGGCTTCGTCGCCAGCAGCCCCGTGCTCTGAATTATGGACCCATCTTTGCGCGAAAGGATGAAGGTGGACTGAACTCCCGGACGCGATGTTAGATGTGAAAGGAGGGAAGTGACGTGTTGCGGAATCTGCGAAGACTGATTGCATTAGTCAATATCTGACTGTTGTTCCTGTTGAAAGGCAGAGAGAGAGAGAGAGAGAGAGAGAAGAAAGGAGCGCCTACCGGTGTTGTATGCGCCATGTTGGAGTACGGGACAATTCGAGATGAGATATGAGGTGGGTGTAGAGATATATGACCGCGTTGAAGAATTAAACTTTGCTCATAATACAAATTGAAAGCTTATAATCTTGTGCTCCCCTGTCGTTTCCTCGCTCGCACACGCTAATGTCTGTGGAATGTGAAAGATTGAAGCTGTTTGGCATGGTGTTGACGATCTTGCATAAACGCCGACCGGATTGCGGACCGGATGACTAAGCAATCCCATGCCCTGATTCAGGCATCAGATTACCTCCCTTTCCCTTACTTTAGTATAAAGATAGATATAACTTCGATATAACTGGATAGAAGGCTTAACGACCTGAAATTGCATCCGATTTCACAGTAAATAGTCACACAAAACACACAAAGCAAAATGGTATCGTCGAAGACAGAACAGGAGGGGGAGTCATACAAATAGGAAGAGAGGGTTAAAGAACGACTACAGAGCCCTAAGGTCATGATGCAGATAAAGAGGGGGAAATAAAAAGAGAGCGACCACCCAGAAACACCAAAATTAAAGGAAATATCAAGATGCCTCCCAGTAATTCATAGGAAAGCACATCAGGCCCTACTCCTGAGCTGTGTTCTTTCAGAACTCGGTTGATCTGACTCCCAGCCAAAATCGAAGTCCTCAATCATATTTTCCATCTCCCGGATATCAGCACTTGCTTCCGAACCGTAGCTACTGCGTCGGCTGGAGTCTGGGCTAGCAATCCAGGTCTCCGGACGGTATGGAGGCTGACGTCTGTGCGTACGGCGCTCATTCCGCATGACATGGGAATCCGGGCTGGATGAAGAGTTCGTCATAGATGAGAAAGATCTACTAGTATGGGGAGTGGAGAGTGAGGTGGATGATCCACCGAGAGGACCTTCTACGTTCCGTTTACCCCCCACCCCTAAAGCCGCAAGAAGAGCAGCTTGAAGTGTTCGGTTTTGGTGCTCGAGATGCGTAATGCGCTTTTCCAGCTCCCGAACGTAAGGCCGATGACGACCGCCTCGCGGTTCGTGATAGTAATGGCTACCCTGCAAAGGTGGTGATTGTGGGGAAGCTTTGTCCAGGCCACGGCTTCTGCGGTTTCGGGGGGTTGTGGGCCTGGAGTAGTCGTATGACGATGACTTTCTCATATGACGTGTTTTGCGTGTGGCAGACTCATCGACGTTCATAGGTGCCAACTTAGGCCGCCGTTGCCTACTGGAAATGCGGTGTGTCTGTTGCTTGCGCATGCCAACATCCATACCTTCATCTTCCGAAGATGGAAGAGGGGTCTCAGAGCGCTCGTGAAGATCCAGATCATTAGCCACCCTTTCGCTGAGGGCACTTGTGCTTCGTGTACCACCGCTTGGACGGATCTGAGAATTTCTTTTTGATGCAGGCAGTGATGACAGTTCCTGGATGTCCGATGATGTAGCGTTAACGTACCCGTGGGGGCTGCCATCCTGTGTGCTAATAGCATGGGATTCTGTGGATTGTCCAGGAAAAATTGTACCATGAGAGGAAATAGTAGACAATTGGAGATCCGCAGATTCCCTTTCATATTGACTCCCAACTCTCACATCGGTGCAGCGTGAAGCAGTTGGCGTCTCATCATACCCTTCGGAGGAGGCCATATGAGAAAGCCTTGAAAGAGACCGTCGACCTTCTTCCAGAGGGCGGTTGTCTGAATCTTGCAAATAAATTCGACTCGCTGATATATCTTTCTTCTTCAGCGCACGAACCCTATCAGCTCGGCTTGGACCGGCTCTCACAGATGTGACAGGCTTGGAATTCGATGCGTCTGCCCTAGAAGATTTCTTTCCTCGGTCCGTTGATGTATCAGGTTGGCTGGCACTTGGTGCAGCCCGACCAGTCATTGACCCATGATTCTCTCTCCTCGTAGCACTGCCCATGGATCTTTCTTCTGTAGAACGTGATGGTAACTGAGGATCACGTTGTTGTTCATTGACACGAAGACCTCTTCGGCCGGCAGTAGCGTCTTGTCCGTAAAGAGGACGAACCCCTGAAGTTGCTTCCGGTAGCGCAGGGAGAGGTCTCATAGGTGCCGGTAGAGGGAATGCATCAATTGAGCCCATGGGCAAGGATGTCGGACGAGGGCCGCTTCTAGCCAGGGGCATTTTTTCATGTCCCTGGCTTGTCACCCTGTTTTTGCTTGCATCTGTCTGTTGTGCTGAAGGCATTTGACCCATACATTCCATGTTTTCAGGGCTGGCGTCACGATCTTTGGTGCTAGATGAAGGTTTAGCGTTCGTATCACTCGGTTGAGCGCTAACACTCGAAGAGTCTTGCTGCGTTGTGGCTGGTAAGGATCTAATGGAAGGGGATGGGCAACCATTCGATATGCGCCAGGCTCCTTTATTAGGCATTCGAGTAGGCACAGTGTCAGGGAAAAGCTTCAGTGAATGTGCTACCGGGTTCGAATGGGTCTGTCTGATGTTTGGTGTACTAGATGATGATTTGCTGTCCGCTGCTTGGGGGGCATCTTTGGGCCCTGTTGGCTTCGCGTCCGCTGGTTGCTCATGACTCAACTTTTGGCAGTTAGTATCATGTATAGTCTATATTCTAAATGATTCCAGCCTACCTGTTGCTTGCTGTCTAAAGTACTGGTCGACATTCTGGGGTGATGACTGCTCGTTCGATCCGGTATTTCTGGAACCTTTGGTAAGGCTTCTATCTCATCCAGTAGATCGCTAGTCTTAGAATTTGAAATATGGCGAGTTGAGGGATAGGAAGAGTTTTCTTGTAAATCAGTCGATTGGGTTGATGCCTGATATGGTGGAGGGGTCACGTCCTCGAATTGAGGAGGACGAGGCAATGCAGCGCCAAGCAGGGACGTGATATCTCGCAGATCAAGCGAAGAGAAACGACCTCCTTTCATTTCACATGCATCCAAGCCCTCAAGCGAACCTTCCAGCCATGGCTGTCCAATGCTTTCCACGTCTCTTCTGGAGCTCGATTGAAAGCTGAGATTGGAAGGGCATCGGTTAGAGGATACTGTGGAGTCAATACTTTGCTTAGGAGCGGATTTCTTGGGCTTTCGGGGAGGTAGCGAGGCAGGCAGGAAGCCTTCCTGCTGAAGCGCTAGTAGCTGGCGAGTCGCGTCATCCGCTTTGGCTTGAGCGTCTGTTCCCTTTTTGGGACGCTGGGCGAGCTGCCGCAGGCGTCGTTGGCCCGCTTTAAAGATATCGCGCGCGCCACTAGATTGCGACGATGTGGTCGACAAATCATCCTGTGCTTGGAAGAACTGTACAAGATCGGGAAATTGCTCGCTCCTGCTCTGAATATTCGACAATTCGAGAGGGGGAACATCGCCACCTGGTATGTTCGACATGCTGGAATGACCTCGTCTGGACAACTGAGGACCCGGACGGCAGGTTGGCACTATTGGGCTCGGTGCGACTGAGTGTTCTTGTCGGTTGGCCGGATATAACATAAGGAGATCGACTGGATCTCAGCCATATATGACCTCAAACCCGATCAGGAGACATATGAAATGTCAGGACGAGTCGACAAGGAAAGATTCGTGGTGTGTTGCTTGTACCGACGTAGTGTGATTCAAGGGCCCGATTGCCTGGTCCACCTTGAGCGTGAGAGATCAGCACCTCGAGACAGGGTATGAAAGGAATGACGTCGGTCAACAGAAGAAATCGCACTGGGGTATCAACAACAAAGAGAAGGAAGACAGAAGAGAAAGAATCAGGTGGGATTGGTCAAAGTCTAATCAGTATGTGCGTACGACTGTATGTACAGGAAATGAATGGAGGATTGAGACAGTGAGAAAATAAAATGAGATATCAGCCTACATCCAGGGTGGATGCAGCACAGGGAGAGGTCCTTTCTTTTTAAAAAAAAAAAGTTCTATGGACATCTGGACCTGTCACGACCCTACATAGTCGGGAGCGTCCTGTCTAGATCCTGAATGCGGCGACCCGAACATTGTCGAATAAAGAGCCGACCTCGTTCTTGATAGATTGAGAGATAGAGTTGAATCTTAAGTAGTGCCATTCCACCATGCCAGGATTGGATTCCACAGCTCCCAAGGGCCGAGACAGGGAAGACAGCCCCAGTTGGGCACCCAGCAAGCAAGGCTAGTGGAATCATTCCTAGCTGAAAAGGTAAAGGACATCGCAGGGGCGGAAGAAAAAGAAAGGAAATAATAGGAAATTATGAAAATCAAAATTAAATAAAAATAAAATAAAAAAAACGTTGCTGGACGATCCGTCCGTGCTAGTAGTTCGATCGGGCCCCAGGTGGCGTCAATGACAGACCGATGCTGCCCCATAGACCTGGAACTGGGAAGCTATTTGCTCGCAGGATGATCCTACCACCGTGGCGATCATTGGGGATTTTCGTCACCCAAACATATGGGCCAGCACTATCGATCCGAGATGGTTTGTCCTCTCTTCAAGTTTCGCAGTAATTGGCATGGTGGGCGTATAGTCGGCAACTCAACCAAGAGTTCCGCTTGCGACTATATCGTCAGGAACCACAGTACCACAGCAGCATCAGCACTATTCCCGTGTGACGTCTTGACATGTCTCCTTTTCTGAAAAAAATAAAATAAAATAAAAACATAAAACATAAAAACCCATGAGAAAGAGTGTGTGAGAGCCGTTGAAAGCAAGGGATGTCGCCCCTCTCAACTCCTGGAGGGATTGGATTGAGGCCATAAACTGAAACGAGCCCCTTTGAGAACGTAGGATACGCCTTAAGAAACGATGTGAACGACGTCAATTACCGTCGGGTAGAACGGGGACGATCCGATTAGAGAAAAACCACGAAATCAAAAAATCGAAATGGGGTACGTAAGGATCGAGAGAGCAAAAAGTGAGACGGGGAATTGCACGCCACCAAGCCAGTAGTGGCAACTGGGCGAGACGCAGATCAGAAATAGACTATACCAATGTGACAGATGTACGACCGAGTGGATTCGTTTAGACGATGAACGGGGACTTTCTGACTTGACAGGTCACAAACTCATTTATCTGGACTATTTGCGCTTCTGGAGAGCTGCCGGAAATAGTCGCGGCCGGGCCCTTCCTGGCTTCCCTAAACGAACCAATTCGGAGCTCATAATCAAACGATACCAGTAAAGTACCAGGCGATTGCCACTATGTCTATTGATCTGGTTTCTGTGCAATATGAGAAGCAAATGTACCGGTCCGAAATGGAGAGCTTTCTCAATTAGGTTCCTGATCCTAACCCTAAGTCTTCCCGTGATATAGGTCGGACCGCCCACGAGAATCTTGAAGAGCCACTAGTAGTGCCTCGTAGCAAACTTGCCTCTGAATCCTACTTCCAGGTAAATCGGCACGGTCGCTCTTCACCCAACCTGCAAGAATCGCACTGCGTCACCTCGTGTCAGATTCATCGTGTTGCGCAATCATCGACAGGGGTGGGCGAAGAGGGAGAGAATCAACAATGTACCTAGGAGGGGCCTCTGGACATGTTGGCGTCAGACCCAATGGCTTTTTTTGCAGCAAATCTCCAAGGTTAAAGAAAAAGGGAAAAAGGAAAAAAGACGCACAATGCGAACTCGACTATGTTCCCCCCCCCCTTGCATCAGAAAGTATCATGCAGGTCTCGAGAGCATGGGAAGCATCAGGACAGGTAGAAAGTCATTCAAGTATGCAGGAGCGAAGATGTCCATCTAGAACACGCCACCTTCATGCTTTGCGACTGACCCGATAGTCTCTGATTGTACGAAGGAAGAACTGTAGAATCTCGCTGAGCACCTTGACTCTGGAACTCAGCAGACCGCTGGAGTGAGCTTGCCAGAAAAGTCGATCTATCCGAGCATGGACTATGTTCGAATCAACAATTTGTTTGCCCGAATCAGTCAGTCGTATTCCTTCTCGGCATGTGCAGAGCTACTGCACGCTATGAGATAGATCGTGCGTGACATACTCTGGATCAATCCGATTTGTCTTACACAGCACCTTTCTGTCCATGAGGAAAGATGGGGAATTGATATGTCAGCTTTATCTATGTCGGTTAACAGATAGCAAAAAGGAACCTGATAAGATTATCAGTTAACTCCACTCGGTAAAGAGCCCCCTGTATTGAAGCTATGCACAATGATGATTTATTCTAATTACAGCACCCAGTTTCAATATATTAACATGAGCATGCACATGCAACCAAGATTACCATGCATTATCCGAATCAACCCTCCCAGCTCACCTGTTTCTAAGGGTATACTCGCTAGACGAAGAATCTCCAAGCCTCGGTAGTACATATCCTGTCTCAGTGCAAAAACTGAATAGAAATCCAACCCAACGCCACGCAATGCTTTTCAGAATATGTGAGGGAACCCCAAGCCTAAGGTCCCGACAGAAAAAACGTATTCTCGGCGCAACTCTTTGTTGCGCCTTGACAAAGAAAGACGGGGAAACAAAAGGGTGACAACACATGGCATACGCATGACTCAAGAGAAATGGAAGCAAAAATGCTAAGAACAAAAGGGGGCAACGATGTAGACGCTCATATGCATGTCAGAGACATTGGACCGTGTTCTTTTGTAGATCTGTAGATCAATGTGTTGTCCTCTACATGTGACATGTCTTCCGCAAAACAGTAACATGAAGCATAAGAATCAAGTGAGATGAGATGCACCGGGTTATTTGCTGCATCCATTCCACTGCCTATCTCCGCTTCGGTCGGATGAACGGATCGACTGCTTTCTTCTTTCGCATTGGTGGAGGGGGCCTGGCCCCATTACCTTGCCGCTGTGGAGGTCGCTGAGGCTATATAAGAGGGCAAGTCAGCAAGCAGTTGCGAAGCTATCCATGGCCGAAATAAAACACATACGTTTGCTGGACCTGAATCCGCCCGTGGACCGCTGGGAGGCTTATTCTGGTTGATAGGTGCATAAGCCGGTCCTTCTCGTGACGGTTTAACTAAATCCTGCGAGACTAGTCAGCAGAATTCAGCGTAAAGTTGGAAGGAATGGCTTACCTCCGTGTTCAGGGGAACATTGGCATCGATTTTTCGTCGCGGGTTCTTAGGAGCCGTTGGTGGCACGCTTTGATCTGATTTTCGCTTGGGGGCTTTCGCAGTGTCAGAAGAGGGGGAACCAGTGCGTTTGCGCTTAGCTGCGCCTTTGGTGCCATCTGTTTTGGGTTGCTCTGGCTTTTTCTCGTTAGCACCGGACGTAACCTGGATAACAGGTACCTTGGGGTCATGCCCTCCAAGCTGCCTGCTCCGTTGGCGTTCCGCTCTCTGCTTTTGCATCTGCGTATGATGATGTTCCTCTCGCGCAATTTTTAATTTCACTTGCTTTGATAGAACTTTTGTAGACTTGCAGTCACGAGCAACGTGCCCAGCTTCGCCGCATTCCAGACAACGGTCCGATGTACAAACAGCACGCGTATGTCCGGGCTGCCCACATCTGTAGCAGTTGCCTCGAGCTGCTTCCTTTGCATCAATGTTGTCGCAATTATGAGTCATATGAGAGAAACTGCCACAATAACCACACATGCGGTTATCATCCAAGCCGCTGGCACCCCCTGACGGTCCCTCAGGCGGGGAGACGTGAGGGTCATTTATCCCGGATGCATCTGGTGGGGCGTTGTCACGAGAGGATGAGGACGACCGAGAAACAGGACCAGTTGGTGTGCCGACCGAAGGCTTTGTTGACTCCGATCCCTCAGCATCCAGCATGTCAACATTCTTGTAGCCGGTAAACTGTGGCCGCTGAAGGATTTTCAAAACATCGCCATCGGTATAGACACTCCGACGGCGAGCGTCTTTTATAAGGCTATTCCAGAACTCGCCCTGCACCAGGGACTGCGAATTTCCTAGAACCCAAAGGGATGACTTGGCGCGCGTCAAACCGACGTTCATACGGCGAATGTCGGACAAGAAACCAATTCCTTTGTTGGAGGCTCTAACGCAAGAAAATATAATAACTTCACTCTCCCTTCCTTGGAAGGCATCTGTAGTGTTGAAATCGATCTTGTTAAAGATTGCATTTCCATACTTCGCGGCGAAATGAGTTTTCAACTCTCTTAGTTGGCCTTTATACGGGGTAATGATACCAATTTTACCAGAGAAATCAAAGCCCTGGAAATCCGAGACCAAACGTTCATATAGTTGCATGGCTACCCGAAGCTCCGCCATATTGATCAACGAGTGACCCTTTGCAGCACTTTGATGAAGACCCTGCACATCAAAGAACCGATATGGGCTAAGCAGCTCACTCTGATGCCAGGGACGAGCGCGGAGCCGTGCCATATCAGGACCGTCTTGCAGCTTACCATCATAGAAGGCATTGCGTGGATATGCACTAATTTCTGGATGCATACGATATTGGATATCCAGCAGGTGGACATCCCTCGGGTGATTGGACTGCATCCGGACGAACAGACTCTGCTCATATTGAAATTTCGAAGCGACTTTGGACAGGACAGTGGGCGGCAACTGCTTTGGATCTCCGACAAGGATACATTTGGAACATCCGTACTTTAGCGGAATCAGAGCACTCAGTTCAATCGATTGCGCAGCCTCGTCAATGACGACTGTTTCGAACTCAATACTTAGGTTCTGGAACATCTCGTGACCACTACCGCTGAGCGTGGCACAGATAACATGAGCCCCATCAATGATCTCCTGCTGTATTTTCCGCCGGGTTAAGTCAGCATCACGGGCCGCTGAATGGTTTTTGTCGCGGGCGTTATCGATCTCTTGGCTCAATGCAGTCTTCTTCTTCTTAAGCAGCTCAAACTCCCGTTCGAGTTCTACAGGAGCAGGTAAGCCCTGGGCTCTGCATTGGTCCAACTTGGACCGAGTTTCTTTGAAAGCAGTGTCGGCTGCTTTGTGCTCCATATAGATCTTCTGCAGATCCCTTTCGCCCGAGTCCTTGCGAGACGTTTGGCTCAATCTTGCATTCACTAGTTCGTCTAGTGTCACATCAAGGACATTAGTATTTATGGCATCGCTCCTTCCAAGTCGGATGACGGACAGCTTTTCGTGGCGACCCTGAATTGTCTTGACACCTGCTTTGAATCTCATGACCAATTCATCAACCGCGGCATTGCTAGGAGCGCACACAAGCAGCTTCTTTGAAGTAGTTGTCCTCGGAGGAGGTTTAGTGTTCCCGACACCTGTTGGCCGCGAGATAGTGACACCCTGGTTGCCAAGTACGCCACTCAGCAGAGCTCCCACAAGGGCAACGATGGTCTTTGTCTTTCCAGATCCCGGAGGACCTTGAACGAGGGTGAAAGCATCATTGTCCAGAGCGGACTTGATAGCCTTTGCCTGAGCGGGATTAACATTGTAATTCTCAGCAATTGGGTTCAAGGTTGCTTCTGAATAATTAAGGATTGGGGATGGCTTGGCTTTCACGACCTCCTCGCAGAGATCATAGTATTGCAAGGCCATGAGAGCACCATATTCACGCTCGAGAGGGGTTAAAGATGTAACCTTGGCACCCCAGATCTCGGATCCTGGTGCAAGGGCGTTGATAAAGGAGTTACCAGGGTTAACTCTATAGGAAATCTCTACGGTCCCCTTCTTCTTATTTATTCCCGCAATCCGGGCAAGACAATGCGGAGCAGACGGATTATTAGTCGGTGGGTTTGCCTTTGAAAGCAAGACAATATCTGCTTCGCCAAGCCCATAGTCCTTGACCTCAAGCGCTGGCATAACCGTGCTAACTTCCATGAAAGAGTCCACTGACAGTCGTGTCGCAACCTTAACCTCGAATGGTTTGAAGTTTCCCTCTTCTTTCGAGGACTGGAAACCTTGCCATGCTTCCAATATCAAAAGAGGCTCGAAAGTTTTTTGGTAATCAACAGGGTCTCTGAATGTGTTAGATATCAAACTATAATCAGTACGACCCGAGTTCGGCGGAAGATCGCCGTTAGCAAAGAAGTCCCAAGACAATATGGTCCGATGTAGTGAGGAGAGGTCTGGAGCTAATCTTGCGCGCATATCCTTTGCAGAGCGCACTTGCTTGATCTTCTTGACAGGGCCCTGCTGTTTGAGTGACAGTCTCTTGCTTTCTTCGTAGGCCCTAACGGCGTCAGGTTTAGATCCACCTTTCGGACCGAAAAGCTCTCTGTCGAGTTCATCCTCGCTCTCTGATTCAGACTCTGACCCCGATGACACCATCATACTATCTGCAGGCCTATGGTCCTTGCCTTTAACTCCAATTCCACTCAGCCCAGACCCTTGCTCGGCGGTTTGTTCAGCAACTCCAGTCGCCGGGAGACTCTTCTTCAAACGTGCAAGCTCGGCCATATCACGCTTCTTTTTAGCCTCTCGCTCTCTTTCTCGTTTCTCACGGAAAGCCTGGACCGTTACATTGGACTTCAAAGGCGCCGGGGCGGGCCTGGGAATCGCTGGAAGAGCCTTTGCTGCTTTCTCAGCCCTCTTCTTCGCTTCGGCAGCGACTCTTTCCTTGTTGAGTTCAACGGATCGAGATAGTTGCAAGAGGACATCATCTGGAACATTATCGTCGAACTCATCCGGTGTTCTTGATGGGCTGGGAGTAGCTGACAGCTCGGCCGGTCTAGCAAATGCTGTGATCGAGCTCTGTTTCTTTAGGCTTGCAGTCGACGCAGTAACAACAGGCTTCTTGTAATAAGCTTCCAAAGCTCTAACAAGTTCTGCCTTTTCCCGTAACGTCAGCATAGTCTTGACGGTAGACTTGACTGCGACACCCTCAATATAAACCAGCGCATCCTCTTTCACGGTAGTAACGCTGAGCTCTCCAAGACGGCGAAGAAGTTTGGCAACAAGTCCAACTAGAGTGGTAGCCAAATATTCATCCTTCAGTCGGAGCCATTTGACCATTGTACTCATAGTCGCGGTTGGAGACTTGAGAAAATTTTCGCGGGCAGAGGTCTCTTGACTGGGGTCCGCGTCGACAACGGCGCTCAGAAAGACACCGTACTGATCGAAGAGAAGATCGGCGAACTGAATACTATCGCGACAGAATTCCAGCATCACCATTCTGTCATTGCCCCTGAGATGCCACGATTCAGTTTCGTCAAATATCGTGGTCAAGGCTTGCCACAGGTATTCCCACAACTTCTGGAGGGAAAGGATCTCTCGACGGTCTGCGAGTTTGCGAGTTCTGAGCATACCAGTCTGGCTGTCGCAAAGAATATCCACAATGTCCGTCCCTGTATGAATCATCCTCGGAGCAGAAGCAAATGTTTTCATATTCGATATACGTCGGAAAGACCAGCTGAGCCCGTACATAGTCGTAGTAAAGAATGACTGTAGAAGATGGGAAATGGCATCCCTTCGAGCAGATTGTCCACTGACATTTTTTATGAGGTCCACCGCGGCCTGATAGGTGTTTAGATCAGCTGCAAAAAGAGCGGAGATCAGAGCACTACTAGTATCTTGGCTTTTAAAGAGCTCATCAAGATGCTCCGGTTTGAAATCTGCAAGACGCTCGATTATCAAGCATGACAAATGAGTAAGGTGACCGTAGATCATATTAAAGTGAGTCTTCTCTTGGCTGGCTCCTCCCTTTGTGGAGAATTTCTCCAAACCGACCAGCGGTAATATACCGAGAAGAGCAGATGTCGAAAGGGCCAGGTTGTCTTCATGGAGGTGTTTTACAACAGCATCCCAAATTGGAGCTGAATATGTGCTTACACCATGCTGAAGGGTATCATACCGCAAGATGACCTCATAATCGCTCTTGAGCGACTGGCACTCCAGAGCGAGTGTATTACGAATGACATCCATGCACAGCGTTGATATTTCGCGCTGACGTCCCTGTTCAACCTCAAACTTGGGAGGTTCAAGAATTCTAGCGATGTTTGCACTCACGACTTCCATGGTCTCAGATAGGACAATTCGCGCTACAGAGCCCCTCGAAGATTCATGGTCAGTGAAGCTGCGAAGTGTATCAAGTAAGCTTGACAACCCAATGTGAAAGCAATGATACCTGGCCAAGTTAGGAAGGCGCGAGTCTTGTAGCCGATCAAGAAGCTGGTAAACTAGAGACCTGCATGCTGACGGTTGATGGGGACCCTTCAGTGATGACATGAATGGATTGATCCATGACAACATATCTTTCATAGCGGACTTTTCGTAGGGCTCGCCCTCGGTGGCTTGCTTCAAAAACGCATCGAGCTGGGGATTGTAGAACACAAGCTCAATGATAGCTTGAGGTGATATGGTCTGCATCGCATCCCAGAAGTCCCCAGGTGCCTTTTCCAAAAATATCTGAATCGTATTCAAGATAAAGCGTAGGCCAGGAGACTGTATCCCGATGTGTTCCACCGAAAGACGGCAAGGGTCGATTTCGAGGGCTCGCAGATGATGAGTAATCTGGTCTTTATCCAGCCTTTTGACCACAAGCTGCATCCCCCGCCATAGTCGCTGGATGGCAGCGACCTGAACCGGCTGTTGAGAAGCCGACCTTAATGCGCCGAGGAGCCCTTCTTTGATCGCCCAATCAAATTCTGTGTCCGTGGGAGGCCGGGAATACCGCATCCATGCCTGGATAGCCCAAAAGCTGCGACTCTGATTGGGGTCAAACAAGAAACGGGTGACAGCCGGGATGTAATCTGAAACTTTTAGAGTACGCTTCGTCTGAATGAGTCTAAACGGCTCGTCGAAGTATTGCTGGAGAAGACTGTCATTGCGAAGCATAGCATCACAGCTCAAGCTCTCAAAGATAGATAGCAAAGACGCCCGGTCCAACACATGAAGCCCGATTTCCTGGGGAGGTACCTCTTTCAATTTCGTTGTTGCAGTGGTCAAATTCCTCGTTATCCTTTTTATGTCGCATTCGTCAATCATCCGGGAAAATTTTTCGATATCTTCATCATCGTAGTTTTCTTTCAGCTGCTCCATAAGCCAAATCTTTCCTGTATAGTATTGTTTGATACAGAGATCGCATTTCTCGAGGGTGTCGTCCAACTTCCTCCAAATCCAGTTTTGCAGCTCTTCGACCCCCTCTTCGTTGTATGCCAATATGCGCATGCATGACAGGAATTTTTCCCTGCGAGCTGTCGCCTCTGCCACCAGTTCTGCAATGTTCTGCCCCGGTTCATCTACCTGATCGGTTTCGTCATAACGTGCGTGGTCGTCGTCATGTTGTCGCGGACATAATAGGTGGACGTTGTCAGGAAGGGCTTGTAGCTCTCTGCAAACAGATTGAGGCTTAACTACTGTAATACACGATGGCAGTTGCAGGACTGTACAACTTAGCGACTCACCCAACAATATCCATAAACTCCATGGTTACGATCCGGTAATCCAGCTGTGATCTGTCGGCGCTGTAAACAACAGAGCATGAAACATTCCCTTGCCGAGGAGACAAGGATTGGCTACTATACCCAGATCCAGAATGTGAAGCCTCACGGAGCTATCTCACTCGATTGACCAGGCTTCAAGGATCCTCTTTCACGGTGGGCTATATAAGCATGGTTGTGGCAACTAGGCACTTGAGAGATAATACAGGAGGTTTTGCTTTTCCGCTGCACGCCACCACGTCACAATGTGAAAGGAAGGATAAAGGGATGTCAGGGGAATGTTGTGCATTAACACAATCCTTAGAAAGTTTCAAGATTCAATGTGCTTACCCATGCCCTCAAGGAAGCAGCAACACAAGAAGACTCCCGTGTAAAGAGAAAATGAAAAAGCCCATCGGCAAGGCATGCAATACAACGGAGTAAATCAGTGCCGCACCGTCGTCCCTGGCTATTGGTTGATGTTGAAGGCGGTCAAGACGCCCATCATCCACTTTACGCGCGAGGACGCGCTTATCCTCCACCTGAGCTTTTGCGCGCTACACCCAATTCAGTTTAATCTGACTTCTCCAGTCTACGTAGTCCACTTCTCGTCCTGCCGAGTGAGTGTCTGCATGGCAGATAATTACTTTTGATTGAACTTGATGGGTCTCCGAGGGACATTCGTATTGACGGCCTTCAATAGAAAACGTAAAATCCATAAAACCTGCCACAACACATACCTCATTCCTTCAAGGGCGCTCAAGGTTGTCCTTTGATCAGATCTTTTGTGAAAACAGTCAAGATTATAAGGGAGAAGGAAAAGTGAAAGAAAAGGGCAGCGATGGAAGAAAAGCGTATTCACACACACGGAAATAAGGCTTTTGTACAAGAAGAACACAGGCATTACGCCACAAAGTAGATAAAATAGGGAAGAGGTCAAAAGAATGATGAACGCAAGAGAGCTTCAGTAGAAAGGATTCGCGCCGAACCACCCAGATATGTATACCGAACGCCTTCTATGGGGGAATAAATAGCGGGGCTCCAAGAAAACAAGGAGATTACTCGTCATACAAAATCACACAAACAAAACGAAACAGATGCATCGACAAGAAACCGACAAAGGGTCATGAGAAACATCGAGTGTATATAGTATAGTATAAAATGGATAAATAGTTTATGAGGAATGCGATGGAGGATCGTAAGGGGCTTTCAGTGGACTATGAGGACTTTGAGGCTCTTGAGCACCACTTGTCAGTCCCGTCTCCACTCGCGTTAGCTCGTTGTTCGCTTCGAAATCATGTCGAACTCTATCAAAGGAATGCCGCGTCCGTTCAGCCGAGCCGCGGACATAGTCCACTGGCTGAGTATGATAATGTTGGCTCGTATCGAGGCTGGATGCATAATTTGTCCCATTACTGCCATTTTGACTGCGGTGGTTGTGCGTCTGATGGGTACGAGAGGTTGGAGCAACGGAAGGCGTGTATATCTGCTGATCGTCGGAAAAAGGATCCTGTTTCATACTGGGTTGTATTGGTTTTCCCAAGTCCGAAGAAGCAGCCGATTCATCACTCAACAACTGACCTGAAGCCGCAGCGCTTGCTGCCTTGGGCGGTACAAACGCCTCATACTGATCCAAAAACTTGAATTTGCCCTGGGTGACCTGCTCCCGAATGATGTCCACATCTAAGGGGAAGAACACCTTCTGGAAGGCCTTGAAAGTAAAACGAGGAAGGAGGCATATCGTGACGGTAAGCAGTAGTACAACCCAGAAAGACAAAGTTCCGTAGACCTGAGCTCCGGACTTGTAGAACTGAGCCGAAGCGTCAAACGACGAGTAGATACCAGTCCAAAGGAAGATCAGGAGTGAACTGATGACATTGATTAATGCTGTCAGCCAGTCCCACCGATACGAATTCAGCATGATGTAGGTATTGCTGGCGATGACCGCGCTCGTCGCAACAAGGACACCCATACGAGTCCGGTCGCCAATATCCAGCCCATTGGAGGTTTGGAAGGTCGCCGGGCTATACAAAAGATATGGCATGAAGAAACAAATGAGGGATTGGTAAAGGCCGTCAGCCATGTACAACCTAGGGCATGTCAGTAAGGGCCAAAAGGAAAAGCCAGTTAGGCAGCCTACCAGAATTTGAGTTGAGACCATTCTTTTCGCTCTATGCCTCTCATGTACAGCTGGGGAACAGCCAAAGATATCTTGTCGTCGACGTCCTGGTCAAAGATACCCATGAGGATCACGGGAAGTGATGTGAACGCCACGTTGACCAGGACAATATATGTATAGTCAAAGAGGTAGGAACCATCAAAGTCGTTGTAAATCGAATACCAGAAAAGCGCGATCGTCCATACCAAGTTCTAGAAAGTTGTTAGCCGGACCCCAATAGGAAGGATGACAGGAAGAATGATAGACGACATACCTTATAGAAGAAGTTTGCAATGGTCTCCGCCATGCGGCGGTAAGACCATCTTCCATGGACAAGGATAAGCCGCTGAAGAAACCGGAATTGACCAATAGCATAGTCAGAGGACATGGCTGCCTGGCGGCCTTCCTCACCGATAATACCAACACCGACATCGGCCTCCTGGATCATGGCAACATCGTTGGCACCATCGCCAATCGAAAGAGCCATGATATCAAGGCCGTTCTTAACCATGCGTACAACTGCAGCTTTCTGTGCAGGACTGACTCGACAACATAGGACAGATTTGCATTGTTTACACAATAGCAAGAACTTCTGCTTCAGTTCATCATCAAGCATCAGCTTGAGAGTCTCGCCATCAATAACTACGGCGTGCGTTGGCGCTGGTGGTGTGTGATCAAGGCGGGCAGCGAGAAGCTCTTCATCAGATCCAGTCAGTCCAAACCTTTGCAACTGCTGGTCAAGTTCTTGCACGGCACGGTGTGGCTCGTCGGCTGGGATGTTGAAGACGATCAATTCCATATCGTTATCCAAGAGGTTGCACGAGAACCCAATGTTGATAGCAGTCTCCACCTTATCGCCTGTCAAAACCCACAGCTTGATACCAGCATCCGCCAACAGGGAAATGGTATCTGGAACACCATCCTGGAGTCTATCCTCAATAGCAGTTCCTCCGATAAGCATGAGTTCTTGTTCGATGTTACTAGAGACTTCCTCGAGCTTTTCTTCACGGTCAGTGAGCGCAGCAGCGGCAATGTCGTGCTCTTTGCTCCATGCCCTGTATTCTTCCTCACTGAGCACGCGATCTGCAACACACAGAGTCCGCAAACCTTCACGAGCGAACATTTCAAGATGTTCAGCTGTCTTCTTTCGGAGTTCCTGTTGTTTACCTGGAGCCAAACGTGAATATATGATGCTATCTGCACCCTTGCAGAAGAGTCGTATGTGACCGTCAGGCATGCGAATGATCGCGCTCATTCGCTTTCTTGACGAGTTAAATTCTAGAGTGTTGAGAACGGTGTATGTCCGCTCTTCCCCCATGACGTTCAACACGAGGTCGTCACCTGATCTCCCAAGAAGGGTGAAGCCACAGTCTCGAGCTGTGCCCACTAAAGCCGCCTCGTCGGGCGACTGTGCTTTGAACTCGATCTGTGGAGGATCTCCAGGTGTATGCTCGGTGATGACGGTATGACACACCGCAAGGGCGAGCATAAAATGTTCCGTGGCGTTCCTCTGGGCATCGCCTGACTGTCCTCCCAAGTCTGCGACATAATTCGAGGATACGAAAGTCAAACTCTCATCACGCAAATAGGGGTTATCATGTATTTTGCGTAACAATTCAAGCATCCTGGTCGTGTCTAGAGCAATTCTTTCCCGTTCCCTCGCAGCAACAGCATCAGCATCTCCTCCCTCACGCCGCACCATGCCAACCTGGGCTTCGGTGAACGCCTCGCCGTATGAAACCCCATTTACAGTGCATTTTTTGAAATCCATGACATTCTGAGTCAGCGTGCCCGTCTTGTCTGAGAAAATGTACTCAATTTGTCCAACATCGTCAGAGATGTTCCAAGACTTCGGCACACAGTAAATCTGCAGCTTCTCGTAGTACATGAAGACGTCACTGTGAATGAAAACAGCCTGGATGGTGCGAACGATTTCGAGAGAAATATAGAGTGAAATCGGAACCAAGTTTTGGAACAAGATGAGGGCGACCCAAAAGGTGATGATACCCGTGACCGCTGGAGTGCTCCCATAGGCTTTCAAGTCGAAAAAATTGAGAGACCTGTCGGTCGAGGACCACGCGACGCCGTTGACGATACCAGAAATGAGACACATGAAGAACAAGATAGCGAAGTTGTATATAACGTTCCAGTTGAGGTCCTTAGCAAGGCGGGCCCTTTTACTGGGTGTCACACCCGAGTTCAGCATGATTTTTGTCTCGTCACCAGTGAAAAGGACAACGCCTAGAGCCCATTCGGTGTTACGCAAGGAGCAACCACGGAGGAGTATGTTGTTGATGGTGATGGGCTCGATCATTTCCTTTCGAGGTGCCTCGGGGAAGTCGGGATCACGCTGGTCCCAGCGTAGGGCACCGTTATAGGCATACAAATTGGGATGCGGTGCCTCGCTATCGATCACAAACTCCGCCCTCTCGCAATCTCTAGCATGTCTAACCTGCCGACCACAGTTGAGGGCTTGGCGAACTTTGAGATTGGTTTCGCCATCCAAGCTCTTCGTCTCCACGTAACATGCACCATCGGGATCGGACGTTGACAGTACCACGACATCGGCTGGAACGGGATCTCCGTTATATAGTCGAACATAATCTCCCACTTGGACATTCTTCCAATAATCGCGCTTAAACCTGGCCTTTCCAACTATCTGCTTGGAGGTGTCCACAACACTCCCACCTTTTTTCGGGGGGGTAGCGGACACCGCAACACTGTCTCGGGCTTTGTCCGGATGCAGATATTGACTCTGTTCGTCCACTGCGTGCGTCCAATCCGGACGCGCCTCGGGAGTTGGCGATGGAACGGGTGTCATTTGGATGGCTTCGTCTGCCAAGCCGCCGTCGCCTCGTTGAGAATACACGGATGTCCGCGGAGTTACTGTGGTCATAAAAGACGCACGCCTATCAGCTTCTTCCTCGGGATCATGTTGCTTTTTGTTCTTCTGAGCCAAGCCCTTGATCGATTTATATGTCCAGATAGTGGCCCGGGTGCAAGCTTTCTTGATCCGACGCCACAAAGAGACGTTGTCTTCGACAGAATTCACATTATTCCAGTCGATCAAGCGGTAGACCGGGGAATTGTTGACTTCGTTATCGACTACCGTACGTCGCCAATCCTCAATAGCATCTTTGATGGCTGTAACTACCACGATAACGATCAAGGGAACCGTGTTGAGGGCAGGAGTATCGACACCGAAAATTGAGAAGAACTAGAGGCGTCTGTTAGTCAGAGAGATCTTCGGCGTAAGACCAATGATACGTACACCAAGGATAATGATGAACAAGAAATAGATATTAGCAATGTTATGGAATTGGAGCCAAATATTCTTTGGGACGAAAGTCAATGGTGTATATTTCGCAGTCCGAATTTTGTTCCTGGGGTAATATGCCTTGGGGTGACCATCCTCATCTCTTTCTGATTCAGGGATAGGGATGTTAAAGTATACTCTTCGGTTGCCGGCTTCCGCATCACCTTCAGCATTCGGGTTCTCTGCGGTAGGAAGATTGCTAGATGTGGACTTGCGCTTCTCGTCCTTCATCTCCGAGCGCTTGTTAAAGCGATTCATGATAGAGACGCGTTTCCGCACACCTCCGGCGCCTTGAACTCGCTGCGTCGCCCATCGTTGTCGTTGAGTCGGTTTGGAAATGTTGCTACTCACTTCCTGAATATCGCCCCCAGTAAAGTCATTCTCCGGCGGCGCCAGATGATTGGAAGCCATTTAGGCTATTTCTAGCCCTCGACAGGGCATGCAATGTGTGGCCGTTATGTACTTAGAAAAGGTGGACGGCGAGCATCCGCTCCAAGGAGCCGACAGATAATTCCGCAGCCAGTTCGCGAAACTTCGTTTATTTCTGCGCGGAGAAGAGCGGAACGGTTAGACGGCGAGAGAAAATTTGTCAACTATATCGCGATTGACAGCGTGGTAAGAGATCTCATCTGTGAGGCGCTCAAGTGAAGCGGGTGGATTTGGTGGAATTACCAGCAGTCTAAAGCACTGTAATGGGAACAAGTAGGATGGCGAACGAACGGGGGAGGGAAGAAAGATGGGTTACCCGCCACGGGCCATGCATCTAACATAGAAGAAGTAATACGCAGGATCCAAAAGCACTCAAGAAATCTCTGGCGATGAGGATCGATCCTCCAGAGGGGAAAGTGTGAGAAGGAAAAGTAAGTAAAGAGGCTTAGGGACTGTGTTTCTGCCAATCCCTCTCTCCCTCTGGGAAGCCCCGGGAAACGAGGAGGGTATATTACCAATCCAATACGCTGCAGCTTCTGCGGGATCAGCGGCAATGGAGGTTGTTTCCTGTCCGGTATGGTAAAGTTGGAACCAAAGAACGCGTAAGTTTTAAATTATTAAGATGAAAATGATCATCACGGTGGTACCTTTAGTGATGCCAAATTTTCCATGAGTGTTTCATCTACATAAGCATTTGCATACAAATCTTTACGAGGGCGTACAATGCCACTATATTCTCTCAATTTCTTGTTCGGCTTCATTATCAATGTCCTCTCTAATATCGACTCGATATCTAGCTTAACTCACAAGAACAGACTGACGTATGATGGGGGGGATCTAGACATTGCCGTCATCGTTACGGTAATTTACCAGCAGAATGTATCAGTCCCTACTACCACGAGTTCGGCATGGGCATCCAGCGATGCCAGCCTCACCGTGGACTGCGATCAACGATACCTTGGTTCTCCTTCCAAAACTCTTAACACCGGTGGCAAGCACCCTCCGACACGGGGTTCGGCTTTCGGAAGAGGCGAGTTCTTAAAAGCGATATCTGGACCATCATATTCCTTAAGGGTCTACGGAAGACGGAGGACATTTAAGTGATTTATGACATATTGCCAATACCCGCATACTATTACTCTAGGTGCCGAGTCCATCCCGCACGGTTAAATTGGACTTCCGATATGTACAACTTGTCCATTAGGGAGAAATACGGAAATAAGGAAACAAAAAAAAAAAAAAAAAAAAAAAAAAAAAAAAAAAAAAAAAAAAAAAAAAAAAAAAAAAAAAAAGAAAGAAAAAGAAAAAAAAAATAAGAATAAGAATAAAAATAAGAATAAAATAAAAATAAAAATAAAAACAAGGCTGGAGCATCTTGAAAGAAATCTATACGGAATATTATAGAATATTAGTCACCCTTAATCAGCCCCTCACAAAGGTTAGTAAGTATGAGTGAGCTTCCTCTGTATGCGAGATTATACCCCATCCTGCAAAATGAGATGGTATGCAAAATAGTGCAGCTTCCATGGAACACAACATGTCATCCACTTTAGATATGGGGACTTTTTTCGGAGAATGGGGCCTGAAACAGGCTAAAGGCCGTCTTGGGCGGCACATGCTTTCTCCGTCAACTACTTATCCACTAGGCCATGAGACATCATCTGTACTGGCGTCAGAAAATAAAACCGTATAGCTACATGGACAGTGCATAAGCCCAGAATTACTCGGGAGTATACTACGACTAACGGCTATCCATCTCTCACTTGTGCGTTAACAATAGAAACACCTACTAGTATCAGGGGGATCGCAACTCTATCATTCTATGTTTCCCTTTTCCCCCTTTTCCATCATTCTGCCTTCACCCCTCTCCTTTTCCCGTCTTGGCCCTTAGAAGCTAACTACTGAATCCAGTATGGTGTGGCTCCATCTTGCGTGTAGCTGCGGTGGATTTTGGCTCGTTACGTGAGCCGATGAGATGATCGCCCGCCAACTGTTCTCGAAATCGTTCCGATAAACTCACTTCTGTGTACGCGAGGCTCCCATCTGTACTCCGTAACTACTACTAGTACGTAGGTAGTACTCCGTGTGGTATCAAACGGAGCCTGAGGAATCTTTTTTACTCCTAGACAGATTTTACTCTGTAGGGTATCTTTCCCATTTGCTACCTATATTTGGCAATACGCACCGCCTACCGGTTTTCTGCAGGTAGCATCCCGTGACCCGTACTGTGCACTGCAAATCACAATTTGCAAAATTAGCCTACGTCAGTCCAGCGCTGGGCATGCATGTGCCATGTACTCTACACGAAATACAGTCTTTGTGGCTCACTTTACATCCGTCCTCCGACCATATACTGATTTTCTATCTAAAAAAGAGCCTGAAAGTCAAAATCTGTTTTCGTATCCGGTCGAATAAGCAAAAACCAGCTGAGCCTGCGTCAATCTACATAAACATACCGTAATCAGTCTTCGAGTACTTCCACTGCATGGTGGATCTTGGATCTCGAGTCGTTGGGTGTAATGGATTTGCATCAAACAGTCAGATCGGCCGCGAACTGTTGTGGGGAACAAAGTGTAAAAGTGTACAGTAAGCCAGATCTGCACTTTTCTCTACCCCCTAAACTTTTCCCGATACAGAAGACAGGTGGAAAATTTCAGACTCGATAAGCGATGCACAGCTTAAAAAGGGGGGGCAGTGCACGGTTAGGCCGGACAAAAGTCGAGTGCAAGCATCTGTACTCCGTACCCCGTAGGTGTTCCGAGCAGATGCTCCATACCTTAGGCAGTAATGTAACCTAAGGCGATACCCCTCCTATTCGAGTAGTATTCCGTACGTTCCCTACATTACGGTTGCAGCACAAGCAGATGAAGCCTGCTGCAAGTACTACCAGGAGGTATCTTGGGAGAGGTTTCTCAAGACTGAGATATCTTTCCGGCAAGGTGGGACTCAAGGTTACGTAGGGCGTCGGAATGAAGCTCCTAAAGGAACTAATTCTACCAGAAGCAGTAATTGGCTTTGAATACTGAGAAACTATTGCCAAAAATTGCCATTATCGAACTTTGTGTTGATCGAAATTAAACACCCTTATTTTGTTTTCTTCTGACACTTATTTGCCCTTCCGTTCCAGCTGTGGTTATATTTAATCCTGTCTTCAATTGAATGCCAAGCCTATACCTTATTTTCAAAGTTTGGCCCTGTCACATATTGAACCCCTTTCCTGCCCGGTAGATCATAATGAGGTATAGAGTGACACTTTAAAACCAAAGAGTTGGAAGATGGCATCTCAATAGAAAGTTCCATTTTGCCCAAGGAGGCAAGAAAACACCCTCCGTAGTCTGTGTTTATGCCAAGAGACCGCTCAGTCATACTTTATCGGTGAACATATTATGCTTGTCTCTTCCTTATAGCATACTTTGGTGTATATATACATACAGGTAAGGACTTTCCCGGGTCTTAGTACTTTGATATAGAAGGATACATAACATCTAGCGAGGTTTATTCTTTGTTGTATGAACATGGATTTAAAGGGGTTTGAGGATGTGGTACACCAGCTGGGGGACTGGCTACATATGTCTCGCTCAAGGAGCGGATCTATCATGTAGCCTTGGGCATAGATACTATAGTTAAGTGAGTCTAAATGGAATAGGATACGCATTTCCATACAATTAACTAGTTGTCGCATCTCTCAAACTGTTCTCAATCATCGTCATGTTGTATAGTCCAAGAAAAGATATATAAATGTTACTACCGATCCTTACAAAGGGCTCCCCTGTAAAGACAGAAAGACACGAGTATACACACAACAAGCAAAGAAAAGGGACTGGGATTAGCCAAAGAACCGAAATAAGGAAAATCAGCCCGAAAAGGTCGGTAGTAGTAGAAAGCTGGTATGGTGTAATAGGTAGTGCGCTTCACATAGAATGACCGTATACCTAAGAACTTCCGACTCTAGCTTGCTCCAGGGAAGTTTATAGTTTCGCAAGTAATTAGAACGATTTAAAAGCAGCCATTAACTTCATTCAAAGCAAAGTTAGTATTTCAACGTAGTCGAGTACGAAGTATATTCCGGCTCCCCTGGCTGGTACCCCATTTACCCATACTAGTAATAGGTAAGTCATTTTATTGGCTAGCGCGGAACCTAGCCTCTCCCCACTCAAGGTTTAGCGCCAAGATGTCTATCTATCGGAAGTGGTGCATGCGGGCCAATGTCCATATCAAACTTCCTTCAGAATGTCTCAACGCTCCAGCATCAGGAATTATTTCAAACGGCCAGATTTTTCAGCTAGCAGAGACTCCCGGTACGAGGATCCAAGCGAACCTCCTGCCGCGAGTTCTCAGTCTTCTCCCCTCAGTGAACCACCGTCGTCTTTTGTATCAAATGGTGGATCTCCACAAACTCCAGACGGTCCAGCATTGCAGTTGAAACGGTCATTGTTGCTCTCTGTCACAGATTCCACAGAAAATTCACAGCACCAACCAAGTTCTCAAAATACTGAACCCACAGCTCCTGACCCAGCATTACCACCGAGCTTCAACTTAGCCCAGCGCGTTGTAAGGAACGGAAGAGAAGTTGTGATTAGCTCCGATGGTGAAGATACGGACGCAAGCGAGGTCTTTGAAGATCCAACCTCTCTTTTTCTGAAATTCGCGAAACCAGATGGTGCCTCTACAAGTGAGGATACAAACAATGATTCTTCTAGCTACGGGAGGACTTTGCGTTCCCTGCCGTCAAGAGATGAAGTGAAACCCAGACGGTTTTCTCTGAGTCGCGTTTCCGCTCCGAAGTACAAGCACTCCATTGATAGTCTTGTTACTCAAGCCGTCGATGATAATGAGACTGAGGCAAACATTGCAAAGCTTAGGGCTGCTTTAGAAGAGGAGAATGCCCGAAAGGCCGCGTCAAAGTCTGACGCAGCTCCAGGCTTACAACAGTTGCACGAAGGTATTCTGACATCGGCGCTCGACGACCAGAATGACGAAATGGGGCTGCGACGTCTACTTGATGCTGTCCGGAGAACGGAAGCATTTGACATGGAGAAATCATGGGTTTTCTTCGACCACGCCAGTGAATTAGCTCCTCCTCCGGCGTTTCCACGGAACTGTATAGCAGCAAAATCGAGTCTATCTGTGTTAAGAGGTTCGTTTCAAATGTAGTGTCTCGGATTCCGTCTCTAACCCATTCACAGATACTGAATCGAGAGAGCGAGCATTTCATTCAGGCTCTGTTGATTTCGCATTGTCAAGAGGGCTCCTGCCTGACGAGTTAGTGATGTGGATGCTTAATTCTAGTATGTTGACACGAATCCTGGAGTTAACATTACGCTTACATCCTTCAGTACCGTCGGAGCCTCGAGATACACTAAGGAACGCTTATTGCCGGGCATTCAAGGTTTGTCAAGCTCTCTGTTGACTGGGAGAAGTCCTTATACTGAAGCACCTAAAGAATACTACTGCAGAACGTATACAGTCACTTGTGCGACCGGAAAGCATTGACGCCATGTTCCAAATGATGGGTGCAAACCAGAAGGCATTGACGTTCTCTGAAGTTATAGTTCCAGATGCAGTTCCAAAAAGTGAGGCTAGTCTGTGTTTCCGCTCTTTCTATATAACTAACAAAACACAGATAGTTCGCTGCGAGCAGCACCACGACACCACGCTGCTCTGCTGTCCATCTTAAACCTGCTGCGTGGAGCAGCAGATCTGTTAGTGTCGAGTTGCATGATACTAGAACAGCTACTAACATTCTAATAGGTTCTCCGACGAGACTAGAGAGCACATCCTTAGTATTCTTTTCCGCCTTTCGCTCGACATCTCATTAACTCGCGACCCCATGGTTTGCTCGGAATTGGAACGGACTATAACTGCGGTGTTGGAGAGTATCTCCGAAGAAACGGCGGATAAGTTGGTGGGACTCTCTATACCGTGCTACAACATGCAAGGATATTAATTGCCGAATCTAGGTATATCGTGTGTGCACATCTGCCTATGAAACCATCAAAGATCCTGTATTCCAAAGCCGTCTTTTGACGCACATCTTGCCAACATCAAGCTGGATTGCGATGCTACGATGTCGTCTCGCCGTCGCGTTCTTGACCAAGGATCCTTCCCCACTAACCGAGGAGCCGGACGTGATGGTATATGTAAAAAGAATAATCGATGTCCTGAAAGACAAACGATTTGACGTGAAGAGATATAAGTCAAAAGGCCAACCCGAGTACGACTATGGAGAACTTATGGCCACTACGAATGTGCTAAACATTGCTATCGATTCCGGCTGGTCCGGCGTGGACTTTTCAAGCAAGGACGCAGAGCGGGAATTCAACTCCGAGGTTGATGTACTCGCGGACCGGATCAAGAGAATATTCACCTCCATCGAGGATTCGGGCGCATCCCATCTCAAGCGGACCCTAGCGAAGGAAGCCCTTGAAGCCTTGCACTACCGCATCATATACTCTGTCAGGACCAAGCCACGCCCGAAGAAATCGATATTCGGAGAGAATGGAGTTGATCGCCAAAACAAAAAAGTTTTCGACCCGTGGAAGGTCAAGATTAAACAAGACCCGGAAACTCCCACCCAACAACCAGGGGCTTGACCATGACGGCTAGTCAAGGACTAGCCTTGTGGGGCTACATCTACTTTTCTCTGCGCAAGGAAATATATCAAGGCTATACACCGACCTTTATCACAACGAATGTCAAAGGACTTCTAGTGCAAGGGCTTGATAAATGCTGGAGCCACTATTAATTACAATGGCCAGCCGGCAGCATGACCAGATAGCTTAAAATCATCTAATAACAAAAGGGTACCATGACTGATGTGATCTTGATAGCAACAGCCAGTGACTCTACTGTAACCCTGCCTTTTCCCATTTGATCACATTGAAGGATAACTTAAGCGTAGATAAACTTTACTGGAGGATAGTAAGAGACTGTAGACAAGGCTATGCAGTTCTCCGCACGCGGAGCGTTAATCAAAGAGACATAGATACAAGAATCAGCGATAACGGACTTGGCGCAAAATCAATAATAGGACAGGTATTAGTCTAATCGTAGAACTTCCGGTTCTGGTTCTTTCCGAATAGTGTTTCCCTCACGGCGGGAAGAGCATCGATCTCGAGCAACCGCAGGCGCTCTTCAAAAGTGTTGTTAAGCTCGATCTTACCCTGACCACCGACAATGACCACACCTCCAGCACTGCAGATCATACGTTAGATATAGTACGATCGAAAGCGGAAACAAAGAACAAGACTTACGATCCCTCTGGCAAAGGCTCGGCCTCATCTATCTCCACAGTAACATCCTTGCCAACCTTCTCTTTGAATACCTTCTGCGCTCCCTCAATCGCCTTCTTAGCTGCGCCATTGTCCTTTGCCCTCACCCGAATGGCCACATTCTCCTCATTCAGAGCGTACAGGCCCTCAAGGATCAGTCCCTGCAGAACAGTTTCATACTTCTTAGAATCCTTAGCTGCGATGTCGGAGATCTTATCACGAGCTTGCTGGAACAGCCCATCAAGAAGTTCCTGACGAGAAGAAAGAACGCGGAGACGAGTACGGTTTGAAAGGGTGGAGCGGGTGATCTGTTGGGACATGGCAGCCTGCTTGAACTTCTTCTCGTACAGTGTGTCGATGGCAGCGGTTTCCTGGCGGACGAGCTTTGACTTCTCAATCGCGAATTCTTCATCGGCCTTCAATTCAATCTCACGGGCCTTCTCCAGCGCTTCCTGCCGGATGAAGGCCGTCATCTTGCGGAGCTCGCCCGCGACCTGTTCGTAGACGATATAAGCTCGGGGGATAACACGCATCTCATGCTTCGGAGGCAGCGTACCTGATCGTCGGAAAGGGCATGGCTTTGCGACATCTTGGCTAGCGATATCGGGTGATATCAGAATCTCAGTATTAGAGGGCGTCGAAGGGCGTAGGGACGAGGCAGCGAAAGTCAAGCTTTCCCGATGCGGAGGTGCTTTCTGGGGGAGTCAGGACAATGACCTAGTCAGCATTGGAATCCACGATGATGGGGCACAGAAGCTATCATGGAATGGAGCAAGATAAAAATAGGGTGGGAGGAATGCATACCGGTGTAGATAGTTGGCGGGGCCAGAGAGGGGAGAGCTCTAAACAAGCAGCAGGTGGATGGGGGGAGGTTGTACGCAGCGGATCTGGTGACGATCGGGTCAGTTGGCCATAGCGAGGTTGGCGCCTCAGGAACTGCCAGACGGCTTCCCGCCCGCACCCCATGAGATCACTCCGGTCACTCGACTTGTCTCAACTACATCGTCCTGGGCATCCCGTTTATTTCTTGTCCAACTCTGCCCCTTCCGTGCTATTTCCCCCCTCAGAATATGGCGACTGTACTTCGAATCTTGCCGAAACCCTTTTAATGTGTTGCGGCGTCTGGTCTACCGTCCCCCGCTCAACGACCAATGCAGGAAGATACTCGTGATGGGTAATTTAGGTGACCTGTCCCCACAGGGGAGCGTCGCGGTCTGTTTTCCCCACGACCGGTATATTTCGGCATATAATGTACTCAATGTACTGACTCGAACTGCGGTGATAGGTCGGAGTTGTTGTTGGACTGGTTTCGACCAGTCTCCAAGCCATTGGATTGACCCTCCAGCGCAAATCGCATATTCTCGAGGACGAGAAACACCCCTACGATCTCCGCCGGCCACCATACAAGCGTCGAAGATGGCAGGTATGCTGAGGATCACGAACTCGACGAGGAGTGGTACTGATGTTCTACAGCTGGGCATGCTAATGTTCGTCATTTCGAACATCGTTGGGAGTACTATACAAATTACTACACTTCCGCTTCCGGTATTATCGACTCTCCAAGCTGTCAGTGTCTCCCCATGCTCGGATCCCCAGAGCCTTGCTAACAAGGATATGAACAGTCCGGACTCGTCTTTAATACGATTTTTGCAACCCTGATTTTGGGGGAAGCGTTCACCAGATACTCCCTCATAGGTACCATCTTGGTCTGTATCGGCGCTCTTCTCATAGCGACCTTTGGGGCCATTGGGGAGCCTGCACACAGCCTCGATCAACTCCTAGAACTCCTCCAGCGTTGGAATTTTATTCTTTGGATGGCTGGGACTGCTGTAATGGTGCTGGTCATCTTACTTGGTTCAAGACTTCTGAAATACTTCGCGTCTCCAATTCGTTCAAAACACTTGGGCACCCGCCATTCTTATGTGCCGCACCTACAACTGACCCAAGGCCGTTCTCGGCTAATACGTGGGCTATGCTGTGGACTAGTAAGCGGGATTCTATCGGCGCACGCTTTGCTTTTGGCGAAATCAGCAGTGGAACTTCTTGTGCGGACGGTCGTGGATCGTGTGAATCAGTTCAACCGATGGCAGTCATGGGTAATCCTGATTGCAATGATCACGCTTTCTCTCACGCAGCTCTTCTACCTACACCGAGGCCTAAAGCTGTGCAGCACGAGTGTTCTTTATCCGTTTGTCTTTTGCATTTATAACATCATTGCCATTCTAGACGGTCTTATCTACTTTCGCCAGATGTCTCAACTGACCGGACTTCATGCTGGACTTATCGCATTGGGTACTCTCGTGTTGCTAAGCGGAGTGATGTGTCTCTCATGGCGATTAGAAGTCATCGATAGCCATGCCGCTGTAACGGTTGCCGGCCCTTCTCAAACCGCACTGGGCCCTGGAATGGCTGTTGTCGAGGAACACCCTTGCTCGTCCCTTGAAATGGGACTAGAAGATGAAGAAAACCAGACCGGGGAGCGCGAACCTCTTCTATGGAAAGCCTCTCACCGTGGAGCTTCCCACCGGCGAACCCCCAGCTTACCTCTACTCACCCCTCAAGGGAGCTCCGCGGACATGGAACCCGCATCTATTTGGGCGGAGCTCGACGACTCGGATCTTGACTACGCTAACTCGGACTCCCGGACACCATTACTCAAACGTCTCTCTGCCGACCCATTTCAAACCCGACCACGAGGAAAAACCAAGTCCATTACCCTAAAGGACGCCTCCCTGCGCGGGCAACGCCACTCATCAACCACCCCCCTAAGCCACCAAACCTGGAACCCCCGCAGAGTCCGCCCATCCGTCTGCCAAACCGGCCACCAACGAAGAACCTCAGCCCCATCCCCCGACAACCGTCGAGCGCCCCAAAAACGGCGCACCTATGCCGGCGGCCCTTCTTTCTTCGACATCTCTGGCCCCGGATACGGAACCCACGACAACCGCACCGACACTCCATCCTCCCGTGAACCAGCACCACCCACCGGCGCAGACACAACGCCCCTCGCAGGCACGAGCAGTGGCGCTCTAGGAACCGCATGGCGAACCAGTCTACGGTACCTCTCTCGCCTAACCGGTAGTCAACGGCAAAGCGACAAAAGAACTCACGACGATCCCGAACACAACCCGGACGCTCCTCCCGATAGATAATCCCCGTTACCAGAAAGAAAGATTGACCTTCCCCCATATCCCATTGTATATTACATCACAATAACTTTATGCCTACTTATAAACCACAGCCAAACACAGCCTAAGCTGTTCATTCCATCCTATATCCATGTTTGTCTGGGTTTAATCTCCTATCGGGATTAATCAGGGCTGGCATGTTGAGTGACTCTGGATTCGGGGAATGTTACTGGCTATCCGTGTGACGGACTTGGTTTTTTTTTTTTTTTCCCCCTTACTTTTATTTATTTGTTCCCTCTTTTTTATATCATATAGCGTGGACGATGATACCTTGGATTAGCTAGATTGGTGGTAGACTTTCCTGACTCTGGGTTTTCTTTTTGAGTATTTGGAATGGACGTCCGGTTGAACCGCAGATCGAGATTGAAACAATTGACCGAAATCCAGTGGAAATAAGTAATATTATGCGTAGGAGTATTGTACCCGTGTTTGTTCAGTTACAGAATGAGGCAAAAAAGAGCTCCAATTTTCTCCGTACCATACATGAGACATACTTCCTACCCGGTGAAGGGAAACCCAGTCCAATAATATCGCATCAGTTACTCAATCAAATCAAAGCAAGAAGATTCGTGTGTCCGATTCCTATCTGCGTGTCCTGGGGTACTGCTCCCTGAGCAGTCGAATTTCACTGGTCGGATCAACCAGTGTTGACCGGGACATAGGCAAGGAACACACACGACGCAAAGGGGGGAAATAGATAAAAATAAGTCGAAAATTAGTCAAAGCGGGTTGAAACACAAATTATGGATAAAAAACACTGTAAAACCACTTCGCCAGGAGTAAAGAGAAGAGATGAAAAGCACCAGTAACACCGCCACCTCCACTTGTCGTCTAGCAGATAATTAGATGAACGTGAAGAAAACAATTAATAGCTTCGGAGCCCAGAACCAAGCGCTTGCATCCTTCGTGTTTCATCGTCAGTTGAACTTTTTTTTTCTGAATTTTTTTTTTGGTCTTTTCATGTTTTAACCCTTGGTCTTGGATGACTTCGGAATAAATAGAATGGAATCTTGCCAGCACGAGAACAGTGCCGCAGACCCCTCAACGTTGAATCAACGGCTCATGATATACACAGGTTACAAGTTAGGGCACCTTTGGTGTTCGGGTTAGGTTGCTGGTATACGACGGAAACCGCGCTTAGAGCGTCAATTGCAGGGCAAGAGAATTCAGATTTCGCTGGGTATCAAAGGAAGGCCGATGGGTGCGGAGGTGCACATGTCGAAGTTAACGAAGACGCGAAACAACAAACATCTGGATCCCGCGCCTTCTGAGGACATATTACGCAGAAGCAAGACCACCGTTTATGCAGTGGGTTGATGCTGGGGCGGCATCCGGTTGCCCACGGGCATTCCGGGATACTGCCCACCAGCTTGCTGTTGCTGCTGAAGGTTTTGGTAGTAGGCCATCTGCTGCTGCTGTTCGTTGGTCATGTAACCTGGGTGCATGCCCGCGGGGCGAGGGATGTTCTGCTGCTGGGCATTGACATTGGTGTGGGCGGCGACGTCCTCTGGTGTCTCTGTGGGCACATCACCGGCCTCGACACCGTTCTCATTGGTGGTAGGATCGGGGGCATTGAGACAGGCCTATTATGAGAGATGTCAGTTCGGGCACATCGTTTACGTCACCGGGGGTAGATCCGATGCACTCACCTGGATGAGGTTCTTGCCCTCCGCCTTCGTCACCAATGGCTGAAGCTTGGGGGTGGTGAAAGTATAGACGAGACCCGTCTCAGACACGACCAGCAATAGCACTTGGGTACCCGTGAGGACCGACAGCTCGTATGCCTGTTTTGCGACCGCAATGAAATCGTCAGCGATTTGGGGAGGGTCCATGCACATGACAATTGAATTATACGCGAATGAAAGAGGTGGATTGGACTGAAACAAACGGGAATGACCGGGCGAACGCTCGAGAAAACAAAGAAACAATGAGGATATGGAGACGCGACAAGCACGTACCTTCTTCATGATACCCGCCTTCCGCTTGGAGAAGGTGATGTGGCGACGCGACTTATCCTGAATGAACTTGATTTCAATCTTTCTGCGCTCGCGACCGGGCTTATCATCATCATCGTCGTCGTCGTCGGCGCTCATACGAGAACGCTTGGTGCCGCGGTTGTCAGCGGCGCCGTTACCGGCGGCCTGCTGCAGGTCATCCTGGGTAGGAGAAGGGTTCTCCTCACCGACGGCAGTGATGTCGGCCATGGTGGAACAAGGGTAGAACGGCGAGGAAAGGGAGAAAAAAAAGGATAGAGTAAAGTCAAGAAGCAGGTAATGGGGATTATCTGGGGGAAGTGAAGACAGATGCCCAAAGAGGAATGATGCTTTTGAGGGGGGAGGAAGAATGACCAAATCGAGTAACGCGTTTGCTTCGCAGGGTTTGGGTTCAGGACAAGAAGAGGAAAGAGAAACGGGGAGGAGGAGTTCGAAGAAGGCAAAGTGCCGGTTGGGACAGGCAGGCGGTCTGTCACGTGTCCTTGGACGGCCCATTTTACCTCCTTACCGTATCACCGGTACGGATCGTCCTCCTGCACTTGCTGAATTCCAAGAATTCGGCAGCCACACAGACCCAAATAGGGGGGGAACATGCTGCCAAATCTTTCCCATGGCAGCGATCCCTCTACGAGAGCCTAACTTTATCATAAGGATCCCCCGACCTATCCCTTTTTCTTCACCTCTAACCCATCACTCACTTCTAACCTTCGTTCTATTCCTGGGGACCAAGTTGAAGAACACCGGTGGTAAATGACCGTAACAAAGTACTAAGTTTGTCCAGACCCAACGGTGGAGCACACTTCAATCTTGGCATCCGCCATCATTGGCTCAACCGCCGGGAGGCATCGAGGATTCGATCCGGAAGCCAACTCACATTCCCCACTATCGCGTAATAATACCTTGATACCACAGACCATGTACCACCATGTACTCCACCTGCTGAATAGTCTGGGAGGTCTTATCTGGTTAAGCCTGTCTGTGCAAGACTCAAGTGCCTACCCTGAAGATCCTGATTACTTCGTCGATTTCTCATTGTGGTGACTATGATTGACCCCAGTGACCAAAAAAGGGAAGCCAAAAAAAGACCTCTGCACGTCACATGACTTTTTCGCGGGATCCGCAAAGTGACCGGAACAAACTTGACCGCGGGCGTTACAAACCCAGGGCTGGACTCAACAGGACCAACTTTGGGTATTGTCAACTACGTACTTGACTTTCCTTAGTTCGTTACCTACCAGGATGAGTCAGCCCTCCACCACATTCCACGCCTTCTCGAGTACATCCAAGGCTACCCCCCACCTCACCAACTTCAAACTCATCGCACTCAAGGGCAAACATGATCCATCTGCAGAAACGATATACCTATCATATCCGAGCGCCAGGCATGTAGCACAACAGGACATCAATATCCTTTGTCGAGTCATCCGGATCATGAGAACGACGCAGTGTAAAGCAAGGGCAACGCTACCGTACACACCTGATTGTGACCGACCCCAGGCGTTCATGGTTCATGACTAGTTTCTTTTATAAATAGCATACATAAGGATGAATTGAGATAAACCCCGTATACTAGCGAGGTCACTCTCGCATGACCAGTCATGGTCACTATTACTTGCTAGTTGATCCAATAATTCCAGCCATATCAGTTTCGTCCGGCCAATAATGGCCCACCATGGTTTACCCCATTCATGCAGTCTGAAGTTACACGTCAATCCCACGAGGGGTCTATACCTCGTGCAAGGATGAGGTCCCTTTTTTAAACTTCGACTCGACGGTCCAAATGGGTTAGTTCCCTTCGAAATAGGAGATGTTCGGACCATTTGGGTAATCAGTCACTGGACCCGACAACCTCCATATCGATGCAGTAGATGATTTGATCTATGATGATACCGCGTAGAAGTCCTTGCTGCGAAGGTCGTATATACATACATACCTCTGTCTCTGTTCGGCTTACTTTCCTCGAATCATTGTTTGTTCTTTCGTATTGTGATTAATAACAGGCGATGACACCGTAAGCACAAACAAAGGTGGTTCCAGCCACTTTGCAAACGACAAGCACTCACCCTCGAAGTACGCAGCATACCAAAACATTCTATCATACACTGCAGACCCTCCTTAAGAAAACCCCACCCCACTAGCTAGTTAGTATCTACCACCGCCCGCTAACCATGTAGTCGAAACAAGCCTCACCAGGTAAACCGTAAGCCCAACATACAGCATGACCTGCAGTCAAAAGAAAGGTACCAGAACACCGATCCGCCTCAGTAATATCAATATGTCTTAAACCCAAAACATACCTCTTATCGGCGCCCAGAATGTAACCCTGTTATCGCCGTACCAAACCCGGCGAGAGAGCTCAAAAGTACCTATTTAGATGCAACTATGACATAAAGAGGTCTATCTCATCTTTTTTTTTCTTGGTCACTTGGACAGTACAACTTCCCCCAAGGGTGTATACATATACATATAGTATATACCTTCTTACAGGAACATCACATACACATAAACACGTCGCCATACTAATTGACCCAAGTGAACAACGCCACACTGCTCCAGCTCCCAAGATACTACTAGTATCACCTACCACTGCATACAGCCTAACCATTTAGAGCACACCCTCAAACCCTACAAAAGATACCTAAGGAAGTAACCCACTAGCTAGCCACCACCACCACCACCACCTACCTCACCAACCAAGCACCATGGCTGACCAGCCGAAACCACCGTATCGTTTCAGTAGTATTGATACCATAAGTATGATCTCATGTGGCGGTCACCAACTCTATCCGGTTTGGGAAGATGCGTATACATGAGTTAACAGTGGAATACATCCACTATCCGAGATGAGCTGGGCAGTCAGGTAGTACAGCTCAGCATCAAAGAGATTAATTAGAGCGGGAAGGGCCCAATTTTTTTTGACTATTTCTTTGTTTGTTGGGAAATTGTGTACTCCTGTAGTTTGATTGGGATTTATTGTAGGAATTTTTGTGCAATGAGGACGTTGTGCTTGTGCTCTCTTGGTGGGTGGGATTGGTCGGTGGGCGGATTGTTGGATGGTGGTTCCTGGATTGGGTTACTTAATGTGAAACGGTTACTTGAAACGGGACCGCGCGTCGTTGATCCCACGGAGATATAGATGGCAGATTCTAGTGATTAGCGAGGAGCTTAATGAATATTGGGTGGTAATCTCTATCTAGAACTTGACTCATGATATTCTTGCATAATCACAGATGCGCTAATTTCCAAGAGCAAGGGGCCCGGAAACGGCCCGGAATTCTATTTTTACAAAATGCATCAGGAAAAAAAAAAGCCTCC